CTAGTACTAGTACTAGTACTAGTTAGTACTTGTACTAGTACTAGTACTATTATTATTATTTATTACTATTATCATTGGTTTCAGCTTAGTAATGCCCCGGTTTTCGATTCGTAGACACAGGAAGGAAAGAGTGGAATGAGAACAGCCTTTAATGTGGAAACCCGCAAGTATCAAGGGAGCTCAAAGCACGACAACAGCAGTCCGTATCGAACTTTGAGCATTCTCGTATTCTACAGTCGCATTGAATTACACCCTGATTGTCATCGTTCTGTGCTCAGACTGACTGATATTCAATCCAAGGCACAAGTCAAAACCAATTTGCATTCCACATAGCCAAGCATAGCCATCCTTGGTTGTTGAGTTGCTCAGTTGCTGCTCTGGAAACGTAGAGGAACCGCCACTGTTACCATGCAACCTGATCAACCAAGTTCTGCAAGAAGCGGCGGCAGCATCACGACTATGCCCCGAGAAGCTCCCATTCCTGCAGAATGACAAGAATCCCCACAGACTCTGATCGAAAGCTACATGTTCGATTCACAAAAAGGCGGTCCTGCTGCATGACATCCATCATTGAGCTCGCCGTGACCGCCGACTCAGCAAGCCCAGAATCACCAAACAATGTGAACACAGGCACAGGACTCTCACGAGAAGGACCAAGCCAGGAAGCACAAGCGAGCCACCATGCAGCCACGGCACGGTAACCGTCGGCGGCCCAATTGGCCGCGTGACGAAGCAGTCCTCCTCCTTCAATTGAATGATCGTATGAAGCGTTCCATTTTAATGGAGTGACATCGAAAACGAAAGGCACAGCAAACGACAATGAAGAACATTCGCCTGGAGAGTAATCGCCGGCTGTCTCGCCGGGGGATATGGGTTGCCCTGCAGGCGAACGAGCATGTAGGTTTCGTCGAGGTCCTTGGCTTCAAACATGAAACACAATTGCAAGGAACAGCGGAAAAGTGCGGAACGTGGGTGAGTACCGGCCTGGGACATGATATCGCGAGCCACCTCATTCAGAAATCTCGCCATATTCAGGCTCATGATAGCATCCACCGATCGCCGGTGGCGAAGAAGGATGAGGTCGGCAACCTGACGACGAATATGAAGCTCACTGTTGACACACACACACACAAATCAACAATTATAGATTAGGCAAGTGTCGCAATAGATGAAGCTCCCCGTGTGCTCGCCATGGTAATTTTGCACAGATGGAAAACCGGCGAATCTCCGGTTGCTCAAAGCAGGGTACCTGAGATCATTGAAACACCATGAATGATGTGATTGACGACTCTTGCCCTGATTGCAATCGAGCAGCATGGCCAAGAGCCTGCTGGAGATGTGCTTGACACCCCTGATAACAACTTTGTCGCTGCCCCATAGAGCTGTCAGGTGCCTGGGCTTCCATTCAGGTTCACTGAGCGAACACATACATACACAAGCACACAACACACACACACACATCTCCTCACCAATTTTTTGGCCCAGCTGCTGCTTGCTCGTACAAAATGCCGACATGGGGAAGCAGCATTTTGTAAAACTTAGGCAGCGAGCCGACTCCTGATTCAAGAATGAATGCACCGAATGCACCCATGAAGCTCTAGTCGAAGGTCCTCGAAAGCACCGTGCTTCGCAAAGAAGAGCCCCTCGGGCATCGGAATGTGCACCACACTCCTCACAGCGATCATGTCGGCGAGCAGCACCAGGTTGGCAATGAAGGCCTCAGTCAAATTCCGGTGGTAGTTTATTCACTGGGAAGACCCACAATGCGTGAATCAATCAATCCGAATAGCTGCCACCGTCTCCTTCACAGCCGTGCAGTAATAGCAAAAGCGGCCGAGCCTCAATTTCTCAATCTTATACATTCTGGACGAAGGAAGTGAAAGGCAAACAACACCGCGCGATGAAATGCATCCGGGCCACATAATGTAGATCGTTCCTCCCGGCAGGATTCTGGAGCACATCTGCAAACCTCAAATCGGAGAAATGCCGGCTAACCCCCCAAAAAAATGCAAGCTCAGAGCCTGGAAAGAAAATGCAACCCAAGGGCAGAGGTCTTGACCCTGGGTCGTCTCCAGAGACTCGCTGTCCTCCATGCCGAGCAGATCACCCGTGGGGACTCCTTCCTCAGAGGGTTTCAGAGGCTTGTGTGTTACTCGCTATCTTGTTGCACCTGTCACAAACAAACACTAGCAACTCAGGCATGCACACGCTCCACTGCTTCCGCAATCATGCCGTGGCCATGCTGCAAAAAATGTATGAAACGTTCTCGCCGCATAGTCCCCGATGGCTCGTCTCTCTCGAAGCCCCTCTCGAAAATATGTGGGCAAACCGTCCGCAGGCGTTGCAAAAAGCCAGGAGACAGCAGCGAGGTGTCCATGACTCCGAAAAAGACAGCTAGGCCCACAACTTTGTATGATTCTTATGTCATTCCTATCTTCTAGCTGTGAAGATTATCTGCTGAATCCGGCTGCTGAATCACTGACCCTCTTGGACCCACGGCAATCGAGGTGGAACGCAGAAATCCTTGAAGCACGAACCTGGAGGGAGCATGGTAAGGGAAAGCTTAGA